TGGGTAAGGGGCCGGTTCGATAAGGTGGGAAGGTGCGGCCCTGCTGCTGTGGTTCCCCGTAGGTTATCGCTGAGATGAGCATTCAGCTCGGTTAAACAGGCCCGTGAGTTAAAGGCCGTGTCTAGTACTTGTCCTGGGAGAGTTCAGGTCAGACATAGTGAAAGCAGAAACAAAAAGAATCAAGATTATTTCGGGGAATAATTAATATTTGCAAAGCACTTTGTGGTACAGAGCGCCGGACAGGTGTTTAAGGCTCTCGGTGAGATGTAGATTTGGTCAGGTTGCGTTGTTCTCGCCGGTCCTGGTGAATGCGTGTAGCCAGCCCAATCCCAGGAGAATTTCTCCTGTGAACCACGGGGTGAAGGCAGCGGGAATTCCCCCCGGAGAGGCCGTGGGAGCTCCTGATTCCGCAAAGAGCTTTGCGCTGCAAACCCCGCCAGGACTGTGACAGGCGTGAGGTGTCCCATTGGTGGTACGGAGTGTCAGGGCAGGTGCCACGGGCACCATGGGACCATACGCCTACCTTTTTGTGGCACGTGGATTTAAGCATGTGTTTTAAGTGCTTCCCTGTATTCAGTCCTCTAGATGAAGTGCTCTTCTATATCAAAATCTGTCGCGTTAGTCATGTTGGGAAGGTCAGTCCTCAGTTAACGTAATTGCCATTATGTTCAAACATTTTACAGGTTTTCTTGGGAAAGAAAAAAAAAAAAAAGCATCTGGTTTCTGGGGCCTTTTACGTACGTGAATGTGAGATTTTTCAAGCTGTCGAGGGCTCTGTCATAATCCACTAGGAATGTCTGTAGGAAAGTAACTTGCTGTTAAAGTGGGCATCTATTCAGAGAAACGACTGCAGAAATGGCATTGTGGGATCCATGTTTATGGTTTCTCAGCAACGCTGGTTGACATCTCCTCAGCTGCAAAATTAAAGGACTTTTTTTCTACTCGCCAGCTCTGCAAGCTTAGCTGGGGCTCCGCGCCACGTTGGGCTCCATCAGGCTCACGCATCATCAGGACTCAAGAATCAGTGCATGGAATTTAGTTAATAGCTAATAGTTGATGCATGAGACAGAAGTGAGTCCAAGGCCTGAGCTTTGTTCACTCTGCGTGGCGCTGTAAGGTATTCAAAACTTACTTTAAATGTTGAAGCCTGCAGGTCTAGCCCCACTTGAACCCCATGGCTGGATCCGTTGATTAGGTACCATTTCTATGTGTAATCCCATTGCAGGGAACGGCCAGTAGTTAACATACACGCCCAAGCTTTCCTTTGATTTCACTGGGAGTTTTGGGCGTGCAAAGAATGTGGGAATGGATCCTACTTGATTTATTGGCAGATAATTTGCACAAGCTACTTCTTGGCTGTGTTACGCGCATTTCCTTTCTGCGAAGGCTGTCTTGGAGTAGTTTAAGCACCATCAGATTTATCTGCAGGAGCTTGTGAATACAGCTTTGGGAGAGAATGCCATCAAGCTCACTTTTTGAAGAAAAGAATGTATATCTAGGTTATTTTTGTGCGTGGTTATCCCTAGGGCTTTAAATGGCTGTAAAGTAAGGACTATAGCCATTTAAAAGAAGTTACTAGGAGAGGACCACAGTGACCTTGGCAATATCTAATTGCAGGCTAAACTTTCTGGGTGGGCATTCAGCACTGGATACAAAAAAAGTAAAATCTTGGCAGGAGCTGCCAGGTCTCATTATTTTCGGCAGAGCTTGACATTTCCAGTGTTTTTAAAAAAAAGAAAGTCAACAACTTCAAAGCAGAAGGGGCATATGGAAAAAAAAGTTTGAGCAAAACTGATCTAGCAGTGATATAATTACAGTGGGAGAAAGCAGCAAGGTGGGTTTATTTTCAGGATTGCTTATGACTTTTCTTCTCTTCTCCCCTCCCTGTCCCCCCTCCTGCAGGAATGGGAGCTGGTGGTGCTGGGGAAGTTGAAGTGGAACCTCGCAGCCGTCACCCCACATGATTTCATTGAACACATCCTAAGGAAGCTGCCTCTACCTAAAGACAAGTTGCTTTTGATCCGGAAGCATGCACAAACATTCATTGCCCTTTGTGCCACAGGTAGGCCGAGGTGTTCTGGGTGCACCTGCTGCTTGCTGCATGGTTCAAAGGGCAGATTAGTCACTGGTGGTACAAAGGCTTTTCCTCCCCTCCATCCTTAC